CTCGCGTTGTTTAAAGGGGGTAGAATTTACAAATACTTCCACAGTACCCTTCGTTACTTCACTGTGTCGGGAGTTCATAATATTACAAAATGAATCGTCAATAAAATTCTCAAGCTCCGCAAGCGACGAATTATCAATAGGTGATATTATATCTGTTTTGGCGACAGGAATCTCGGCTCCATAATCATTCTCGGTTGTTAGGTTGCTTACTTCGCTTATATCACCGGTGCAAGTTATTACTGAGACTTCAGCAGACTGTACGCCTGTGTCACTCTGATGGGGCAACATAAGTTCACTATTTAGGCTTACCAGTAATTCCTTTAAAGACTCCCCTTCGCTACCTTGGACAACTAATGTTCGTTGTTTGCCGCGATACCAAGTTATTGTCAGATCTGAGTTGCTTATAAACTTCTTAGAGTTCCCGCCAGGTGAAATCCATTTACCGCTCAAACCAACGGTATTTTGAATAAAACTCTCCAGTTCATCATAGTTGCCGTTCCACTTTAAACGTTTTCCATCATAGACAAGAGTGTTGTTGTTTTTATACGTTCGAATATCGTCCAAATTCACATTTCCAACATTAAATTTAGTATTGGGAATATCTATGGAGCTAACCTTAGCATGACCATCCGCCATTTTATCTGACATTGTTATATCGTCGCTTTTCTTTGGAATCACATATCGTTTGGAATATTTACGACAACATTGCTTAAAAATTTTCAAAAAAAACTAGATTGTTTTAAGTTTTAAAATTGAATAATTCATCACTCCTTACTATTATTTTGTCGGCCATCTTGTCTCGCGAGTCTATGGCGAGTCGCGAGCCCGGGGAACATGGGGTGGAACATTGTCAAAAGGAACGCAGGCTCGCTAATTGATGACGTAAGGCGTGATATCGAGATAGATAGATAGATAGATGTTTAATAGATTTTACATGGCATTAGTGATATTACTGAATTACATATTATATGATATCAGCGCTAATCAGATATGTCGGAAAAAAATTACAAACAAATTAAAAACAACACATGCACAATTACATATTAGTGATATTACTGAATTACATATTATATGATATCAGCGCTAATCAGATATGTCGGAAAAAAAATTCAGATATGTTGTTTTGTTTTTTTATATATCGCGATTAATTTCATGCTCACGTGCCACAAAGTGAGCTTTCTGATTGGACAATTTGAAGTTGAGGTATAATATTGTGTATTGTAAGATTTCACATTCATTTTATACACTATATACCTATGTTGTTTATTTGTGAGTATTTAGTCACCGAATTATTGTGGCCAACAGTACGTTCTCTTATCTAATAGATTAAAACTACTGTAACTGCCAACATATGAATATGAAAACACATCCCAAATATTCATAGACAACTGAAATCAATTAGAAGCCTGACAGGTAAAGCCTGCCGCACACGAGAGCTATCTGCTGAGCAAAAAGTTACTCGTGCCTGTTAGCTCAGCCGATAGCTCACCGTGTGCGGGTACATTTTACTGAGTTTTTTGCCTCATGCAACCTTTTCTCACGTATCAAACATGTTTGATCGGTGAGCTATCGGCTGAGCTAACAGGCACGAGTAACTTTTGGCTCAGCAGATAGCTCTCGTGTGCGGCAGGCTTAACAACACCCACTATATAAATCAAATGATCACAATTGCAATTCAGTGAAGGGCTAACCAAAACCTTCTATACTAATAACAATAGATTAAACCTCGAAATAGACAGTCGGTGAATTCAGTACTGATAAAAAGTTATTCTGTATATACAGGGTGTCTCAAAAACATTCTGTATATACAGGGTGTCTCAAAAAAAAGGAGACCTTTACTTAGAATTTCGCCTTATTGTTATAATTTGATTGCATGTATGAGATACTGAACCCATGGGTGCGTAAACACTTACTGAATAGAATTTTATGCATGAAAGTTATTTAACTTTTTTGGTTTCGTTCCGACATTTAATTATGTGCTGATTTAACGCAGCGCATAAAGCGGTTGAGCCATCTAGTTTTACTCGAACCGATAGTATGACTAATTTGTAATTTGACCATTTTTGTGTAGTTATTCTCCTTTATGCTATATTAGAAACTATTTTAAATCCCCAGGAGCAGAAAAGATCTCCTTTAACACGGCAACTTGTCAATATTTTACGCACCCGCGTGGGTTCAGCATAGAACTCAGGTACTCAAATAATTATAACAAAAGGTTTCCTCCTCTCGAGACACCCTGTTCAGTCAGAATGGAAAGTTAATCAATTTTGATAGAGCTAGGTTTGTCTATTGAAAAATTATACTGTACCATTAAATGTGTGGTATTTGTCTCTTTGTGTAGTCACCTAGTTTGGAATGAGTTTTCGGAAAGCTCGCGTGCGCATGAAAATAAATATTTTCGAAAATCGAAAATTCCGTTTTACTTCTAGACTTAAATGTAAATCTGAATTGCAAATATTGGCCCACATGCAAGCTGACCATTGTCATTTATTAACTTCTGATAATCTGATAAATAAAGTTCGTGGTTGCGCGTTTACTGTGTGTATTATTCAGCACATATCTGATTCCTCTTAAGTTTCCCGTAGGAAAATATTAATTTTTGAAATATTATTAAATACCCAGCACATGATTCACTCAAACGGAAGCGCAATGTTGTTCTTGGGAATATAATATTCGTATATTCCTCATCAAGAATGGAGTATGGCAAATATTTTGCTAAATGCATGTTAAACAACACTAACACCCTTCATGTTTCTCGTTCACATTGAACTCTACTTGTTTCGTCTACGGTTTCAATTAAGTGCATTCTTGAACTCACTGGGAAATAGTGAATTGTTCCGACAGACGGCCCAGACTCACATTGCAGCTATAAGTAGTTCAGTAAATATATTTGTCAAGTAATTGCTATATTGATGTACTACTACTACTCCTACTACTACTACCACTACTACTACTACTAGATATACTACTAGAAATACTACTAGAAATACTACAAAAATACTACTAGAAATACTACTAGAAATACTACTAGAAATACTACTACTACTAGAAATACATGTATGCAACAACGGAACCCCCTCGTCCGATATTGTTTCAACACGAAGTATTGGTAATTACGTCAACACTGCACGTAGGCTCGCGTTGCTCACGTCATGTTAGTCATGGGCTCATGGCAACACGAATACACGATAATTGTTTTTAATTTTTTTGTACAAACCTGTAAACAAATTATAGATGAAACTTGAACACTTTTACATACCGAACTATCAATTTCTAAGATATATGTAGGTATATTATGTTGTTTTCCATGGGCTTTATTTTAATGTAGGCTAAAATTCAAAAAGAAACTCTACATAAAATCTTTTTAAATGTGAATTGAAATCAACTGCTCTTTGCCGATATTAAACTCTTCAACTTGACCACAGAGAAGAGGAAACACGCGGAAAATTATGTCACGCCGATATATTCAGTCTATTAACTATAGAAAATTATATTAATTCACTATTTTATTAAATTTTGACCATGCAGAGGAAAAAACTATACATATTATAGAAGTATTCATGTTTTTTTATGCAAGAGTTCTATTTTGAGGAATTTATATCATTCGTTGCTTTATTTTTTTATATATGAGTATCTGAAACTCCAGCCAGTGCTTTTCACGATTTTAATAAGGAGTAGATAGGGAAAAACAAATTTTTGCAAAATAACATGTTATGTTAACACTTTTAATAAAAGGAAATCAATAAAAGTGATCGCTTACCGTTATTCTACAATAATTTATTGAACAAAATTTCCATGGGTATCTCATTTTTTTAAAAAAAGCGATTTTCACCTTTCGAACGGCGTTTTCCCTATTTTTCGCTATGAAATTTCAGCGACGGCACTGGCTGGAAGATTTTGCGTGGCGCGTGGAATGCGTGACACAAAAATTGAGGTTATCGAGGTGTCAGTTTCCGCTCTGTACTATCTCTTCTCTGTGACTTGACCTTCAACTTTATATTACTCGCACTTTGAAATGAAATAAATTTAATTCGTACAGGACGCTAATGAAATAATTTGCTTTCCTTTAACTAAGAAACTTTCGCATACAATACATAGGAAAGATTTATACAAGAACAAAGTCTATAATAATAAAAAGTCATACATAAACAATTGAAACAAACTTGCCCTATACTTTAGGATTTCTCATACTAAATCAATTCTTATCAATGTTTACGTTTAAAAATTGAAAAAATGTTTTACAATTTGCTATGTGAAACGATTTTCCAAGCTTCTCACATGTATTTTTAATATTTTCCCTTCTTCACTCCTGGCAAACAGCCATATTTTGAGATCAGTGAGATGACCACCCATCAGTGAACTAAAAATAACGTTATTTTTAGTTCAATGCCACCCATACACCATGCGCCCGCGATATTTGATGAACTTTAGACTCCGCTAGTGCGTTCCTTTCCCCGGATGTAACTAGCCGGACGGAATTAGTACCCTCGCCCGGGCTTACGCCCGGAACGGCGCTCCGCGCCGTTGGCTCGGGAACTACTACTACTACGACCATCACCACCACCAATACCACTACTACTACAACTACAACTTCTACTACAACTACAACTTCTACTACTACTGCTGCTGCTACTACTTCTACTACCACCACTACCACTACCGCTGCTACTTCTACTACCACTTACTAATGCGGCTACTATTACTACTAAATATTTTTACGTGAATGCATTTTGTGAAAGGGTGTAGTGGACTCTCAGCTGTATACGTTTCTTTCTACAGTAAGTTGCCTATATGTTGATATTAAAATGAAATAGACCACTCTTTATATTTCAGATTCCAAATAAGTGATGCTGTTTGAAAGCCTCACCTCGCTCATTTTTATTTATGTTGTATGGTATGTTGTCAAAACATATCTAGAGAACCGAAATCTGCCACCTGGTCCTTTCCCTCTTCCCATAATTGGAAATATTCATCAAATAGGACTCAATCCACCGTTTACCATGACTGCACTCAGCGAGAAATACCCACATGTGTTGAAGCTTAAATTTCCAATAGGAAATGTTGTCATTTTGAATAGCCCAGAAGCAGCAGAAGAGGCACTGGTGACAAAAAAGATTGACTTTGCTGGCAGACCGATACAGGACTTCTATCCTTCTGATCTTGTTTTAGAAGGCAGAGATATTGTCAGTGCTGATTACGGTCAACTTCTAATGTTCCGTCTTAAAATTTTCAAATCGGCTTTGCACGCTTTCGGAGAAGGAGCAAGGGAGGTTGAAGACCGATTGCATGGAACAATAAAAGTTCTCCTGAAACAAATCGAGGAAATGGAAGGACGTCCCTTTCGCTCTAGAACATACATAGCTGCTGCAATAACGATTCAGTTGTGGGAATGGCTGTCCTCCACTAGGTTATCTTATTCCGATCCAAAATTGCACAAGATAATGGATTACAACGATACGTTCGTTAATCTTGCCAGCCAAGGTAGTTTTATTCAACTGTTTCCATTGTTGAGGTACCTACCAACCGAGTTCTCTAGAAGGCTGAAGGAACTACTTAAAACAAGAGACGAGCTGTTCGGGGAGTTGTTGGAACACCACAAGAAAACCTTCCAAAATGGCGTAGTTCGTGACATTACTGATGGCTTGTTGGAGGCATATGAGAATGAAAAGGAAAAGCATGCAAGCAAAGATGTTGGATGTAATGATGATATCAAGTATATGATGATGGACGTGATTACTGCGGGCTCAGACACCAGTATCTCACTCACCGACTGGTTCATCCTTCATATGGCTTTAAAGGAAGATATCCAAGAGAAAGTACAGCAAGAACTGGATAAATGTATAGACGGAAATGGATTACCACACTTCGACGATGTTAAAAATTTGTCCTATTTACACGCCGTCGTATGCGAGGTAATGCGTACCACAGCGTTCGTTCCTTTTTTGCTTCCTCACCGCACAACTCGTGACACAAGTGTCATGGGTTATCCGGTACCAAAGAAAACTACAGTGTTTGTGAATCAATACCGCATTCACTACGATCCTAAGGCGTGGGATGAACCACAAGTGTTCAAACCAGAACGATTCCTGGACGGTGATGGAAATTTCGTGGGATGGAATATGTTTACAGCCTTTATGCCGTTCGGACTCGGTCGTAGAGCGTGCCCCGGCCAGAATCTGGGAAAATTGCAAGTGTTTATTATTTTATCCAGTTTATTTTACCATTTCAAATTTAAGTTAGCCGACGACCAGCCTAGGCCGAATTTAGATGATGATATTCCCGGAGCAATACGAAATCCGTTAGATTATAAAGTTGTTGCCATTAAACGACATTGATTCCATGCAAGAACATTTCTTAATAACTGTCCGCTGTATTCGGACTGGATAACTTGCTTTCTATATAGAATTAGACACCATAAGTTAAGAATGCAGAGTTGCTTTATTAATTGTACTTGAACGTTATATACGAGTCTCTGAAATTACACACATAGTCTATTGTAATGAAATAATATTATGTCACATCGCGAAAGGCCTTTAGGTTTACAATTTTGGTGCAATAATTCAGATTTTTCGCGCAATCCGTTTAATATTTTACACAAGATGAGTTACATTCTAAGCTACACCTCGAAGGCCTTCATACTAGTTATACTTTTTGCTGCGACGTCTCTTCTATACAGCAAAATTCAATCCTTGTTTTAAAGAAAAAAATACTTGTTTTAATGAAAAAAACTACTTAAAACATTTGTTTTTGTCAGTATATACTGAGAATAGTTTTCTAGGCCTAGAATCGTATGCAAAAACAATAAATACTCTTACCAAGAATTTTATTTCGGTAAATAGCAATAAATATTAGCTTCTCCTATTTTTTTTTGGGGGGGGGGAGATTCAAATATTTCAAAATATTCTAACATATTTTTTCTATCGTTCTTGGTATAAAAGACATTACACTTTATTATGAACAAAATTATTATGCATTCCGTCATCTTGGATATGCAGATCCATCTTCGGATATGCGTGACGTCACAACCGGGGTAAAATTGTTTTGTATCTTAAGCAATTCTCGGGACATTTTAATGCTAAATCCATTTTTTGCTCCAGTCCATTTTAAAGTAAAGCACGAGCTATGTCAAGCTTTCCGCTGATATTATGTTTCAGTTCTTAAACGTCCCCTTGTTGTGACGTCATTTAATTCAATCTAATAAATTATAAAACAAGATAGCAGGTGGCAGGACAACCTCGTACCCAGGGTATTACCTTCGCTCCCCCTAATACCCTGGGTACGAGGTTGGTGGCAGGATAGTTTGAGAATAATTGTAAAAAGGATTTGTGAATCAATCTCGACACTCTTCAAATTTGGCAAACATAATTTTTGTTGCCATTTCCTTAAAAGTAAAAATTCTCACTAAGAATAATTGATTCGATTAAAATAAGTGAAACAATTCTGATGAGATGCTTAATTGGCAATTCCAGCTTTTAGTTTATGCGTGCAGGGGACGATGGGAAGTAAGGTGTGACATTGCTGATTATGCTGAAAAACTGATAAAAATAGTGGCCGTGTAAACACGGAGTGATAGCTTATACTTGTAAATATTGAACTATTTCGGTTGTTTCGGTAGTTTTTATTGAAATCTTTCGGCATAATCTGCAATATGATACCTTACTTCCCATCATTCCCTGCAGGCATAAACTAAAAGCTGGAATTGCATATTGAAATAAACAAATAGTTTCTTGTCAATATAGTAATTGAAATTAGTCATGTTTTGTACTCTGCTGGCTAAACGTTCTGCAATGTTGTTCACCGCGCTTCTTATGTTCTTTGTTCTATATTTAGGTCACAATCGCCCACAATGACACATGCAGTGCTGCGCAAGGAAGCTCGATATAAACGTATTTATACCGCCCAGCGGCAGCGCATTCTTTCTCACTCTTGCAACCACACCTCGACAGTTTTGTGAGACAGGAATAGTTGACCATAATAGATCCCACGCTTGGGTAGGACCACTAACCAAACCCACTCGCTTGCATGAAAGGAGTTGGGGCGACACTCCCAAACAGTTCCACCAAAATGACAGTATTGAAGCACCGCCCTCTTTGCATGCTGTAATCATCAGCTAGAGTGTGAGGAAATAGCCTGGGTCGTGAAACCGCGCCACGAAAATTGAGATATATCCGAAAACCGTCCTCTCAGATGCTATCAAATTATAATAGATCCCCCGACATTCATATTACATGCAACATTAATTATTGCAACTATATGAAATACTATGTACGGCAGTACAGATCTGTGATTTGTGTTTACTAACAATCGACTATTTTATTAGAAAGAGAATTTTTGTTGGAATCATACCATGGACAAAGTTCTTTATCTCCTTGGTGCATTATTAACCTAAATGTTGGAGCTAATTCAATTACAGTTGTCCTTTAAAAGTCAAAACTTAAATTATAAAGCGTAATGGACATGTAGAATGTGGCCATATAAGTTAATTTTGCAAAATACTATGAAGAAGTAGAAGCACTAAGAAAAAGACTATGCCCATTGTGCATTTCAGACTTAGTGGTCGAGGTTTTGTAGTTTTGACTTGAAACGTTAATTGCTGTATTAAAATTGCTGTATTAATTCTATATTTTGAGACAAAAAATATTAGATTTTTTGAAGTATGTAGTTATTCAAAGGTTATGAATAAGATAACAGTTTGATTGGAGGATTTTGGTAACACTTCCCAGCCCCAATTTCGTAGATAAATGGAACATTGCTAGAGTTGGTAGAAGATGCATTCATGACAAATACTGTGTGACTGTCTAGTGCAGGCATTCCAACTCTCCCGATTTTCTCGAGAGGCTCCCGAAAATTCATGCAATGCCCTGGTCTCCCGATTTTAATCAAATTCTCCAGATTTTTCTGGAAATGTCGTTGAAAAATCATAAACATACTGTTTTTAGCAACATACTGATAGTCTCATGTCTTGACCTTCAGTTTTATGAGGTTACTTTATGTACTATTTACAACATGAGCGGCCGTGTTGTATCCGATACAACACGGACGCGAATGTCAAAGTTAAAGTTTATGTAAATCAACATGAATCTGTATCACATATACAGATACGACACGCTTATGAATTTTCTTTGTGTTTTCTTTATGAATTATTAATGAGTTTTTTAAGAAAATTTATAGGATCACTTATAAGTTATAACAACATATTCCCAAAAATGCGGGAAATGACTTCATTCTCATTATTTGTCCAAGAAGAACTAGATTTTTTCTTTGCTTCGGAACCCACTGAACAGTCTCCCTAATTTTTAGTTCCAGTGATTGGAGTGTCTGCTAATGTGTCTATATATATACATTGCCATTGGCAAACATATTCCTTCCAGATTACAAAATGTTTCCATTTCGTTGTTACGGAAATTATAATCAATGTATAGTTATAGAAGGTGTTACAATCATGGAAGTTGTTAGTTATAGAAGGTGTTACAATCATGGAAGTTGTATACATGAAGAATCCCCTCGCCTTGCTAGCAAAACCACAATATTTTCCAAACATGAAATATATCAAATGGTTGTCATGGTAACACAATCATATTATTATTTATATTTTTTAAACTTGAAATAAAACACCCAGAAATATCTCTTTTAAATTAATTACAAAATTATCAATTTCCCAAATACATTTGTTAGGTACGTTCTTATGTGTAACATAAGGCAGCTTCAATTTAATGTAAAATTCAACCATAAAACAGTTCATCACCCAGAAATATCTCTTTTAAATTAATTACAAAATTATCAATTTCCCAAATACATTTGTTAGGTACGTTATTATGTGTAACATAAGGCAGCTTCAATTTAATGTAAAATTCAACCATAAAACAGTTCATAAAACTAAACTGCCTTTTAAGTTTTATCGATAAACTTTAAGTTTGAAATAAAATTATTTCAAATTCTCGTATGATAATAACTTTGCCTCCCTAAAGATTTTTAATAATCAAATACAATACAAAGGGTAATTAATGAAAATACAGTTATATGAAGTTCTATGATGTCTCTTAGTTTTCACGATTATACGCAACATCAGATTTTTAAAGCAATTTTGTTAGAACACATCAATGTTTAAAACAAACTACGATTTCCAGAAATCTTTTGCTCCTGATCTTTTGTTAATAATGAAGAAAAACGTGTTTAGTTTTTCGGGTCTTTGAATAATATCTTTCACTTTCCCCCCGCAAATTCTACTCTTTTCACTCCTAAAATTCACCATATTTTTCAGATCAGTGGGAGGTCCACCCATGAAACCTTGAATCACATAGCAGGGCCTCTTTTAATACCATAGACTGGGGGGATTTGTCCCCCCCCAGCCCCTGTTTTTGCCCCTCCAGTGAACTATGTTGCCCCCCCCCTCCCAATGAAGGTTCCTTCTGTCTAAAATATAAGAAAAAAAGGGAAGAATAATTTAGTTAAGAAGAGTATTTTAGTATTCCCATGACCAAATCTTCGCCTGGCGGATGAAATTATAAAAAATTGTGTCTAAAAATGCCGAAAATCAAGCCCCAGACTAAAAATACAAAATTTTCCTGGGTCATACAAGTTCCCACGTTTCCGGTTCACCACCTCGTAGTTAGGTCCCTTTCTCTTGATGGCCCCTCCACTGACAAATTCTTAAAAGAGGCCCTGTCATATAGCCACACGCCCGCGACGTTTGATGAACTTCACACTTCGCTAATGCTTTCCTTCCCCGGGTGTAAATAGCCGAGCGGAATTAGTAATCTCGCCCTAGGTTTTATAAATTTTACCGCTTTAATTTCCTTTCCCCCTTTCCTTTTTCAATTTAGAGCATACTAAGACAGTTAATCTTTTCACTCAAGTACTTACAATAAACAAAAATCGTTCTTCAACTGCTAAAATATTACAGCGGCCAAAACAAAATTTGTCAAAAAACCGCGCGAAAATGTTTGGTTTTTCTGAGTTATGAGACTTTCCAAAAAGAGTTATAAGAGATTTTATTATACAAATTATATAGAAAAATATTAGATACATTTGCAAATTTATTTTCAAGTACCCACGACTTACTTTTAACAGTTAAAATAAGCATTATCAAAGCTAGCTTGGCTGCTATATTCAAGTGCGATTAAAATAACATTACTTGAAAAAGTCAATTTATTCATGTTTTAGAATGAATAAAACAAGGACTTTTTAAAAGCTCAGGATAAATAACCTGGGGGTTAGTACAAACTAAGTTTTGGGATGTTTTATAGTATAATTATTTTTACGAGTTGAAGAGCGAGGTTTCCTTCTGCACGTCCAAACTTCGTCATTTTTTCAAAATACAAAAGCAAAACTTTTT